AGGACTAGCCGAGTTGAGGCTGCTCTCGTCGGGAAACATGAGCACTGAGCATCCGCTGATCGCGTGGAGCTCACGTCTCCGAAATCAGCGAAACACATTTTCAAATAGGTGCTCTCTTTATAAATAAACCGCAGATTTGAGTTTTAAACGACTACATTCTCGCCTGAAATACTTTTAAAACTACATTTCATGACACAATAACAGTAATATTTTGAAAATTATGCGAATATATGGTGGTTGAAGTACAATGCTGCGTGAACTCAACCAATCAGCATGTTCAGTGCCCAAGTCCTGCCCCTGAAAGTTCCGGACCTTTGAAAAAGTACTACCTCGCGAGGAAGTACTTTCTGAGGGGCAGATTTTTACCCGGAACTTTATTTAGATCCTGGTTCCTGCGGTGAAAATACACAGAGTAGTTCCTGGGGAAAGATCCTGCGGTGGAAACGGGGCTTTTTATGTGGACTCTTAGCTGTGGAACCAGATATGGATCTAATAAGTGTCTTTTCAATGTAGTTGGTAAAGATGAGACTTGGAGTGCCATGTCGAGTGCTCACCTGCGCCCACCTGCAGTGTTTCGATGCTGTCTTCTTCCTGCAAATGAATGAAAAGAAACCCACATGGACCTGCCCCGTATGCGACAAACCTGCGCCCTTTGAGCTTCTAACTATTGATGGGTAGGCACAGTTACTCAGATTCCTTGCTTCTAACAGACTCTGGCAGTAAAACTCACCGAACGTGACTCATTTCAGGTTGCTGTCCGAGATCCTTAAAGAGACGCCAGAGGATGTGGAGGAGATCGAGTATTTGACTGATGGCTCATGGAGGCCAATCAGGGACGACAAAGAGAAGGAAAGAGAGCGGGAAAACAGCTGCACACCTGACTATCCTGTGGTGGATATATGTAAGAAGGTTTTCTTCCTTCTGAAATGTGACCCTGGACCACAAAACGTACAAAAAAACAAATACATAAACTGAAAGTGGAATAAATAAGCTTTCCATTGATGTATGGTTTGTTAGGATAGGACAATATTTAGCTGAGATACAACTATTTGAAAATCAAAATATTGAGAAAATCGCCTTTAAAGTTGTCCAAATTAAGTCCTTAGCAATGCATATTACTAATCAAAAATAAAGTTTTGAGATATATATGGTAGGAAATTTACAAAATATCTACATGGAACATGATCTTTACTTAATATCCTAATGATTTTTGGCATAAAAGAAAAATCGATAATTTTGACCCATGCAATGTATTTTTGGCTATTGCTACAAATATAACCGTGCTACTTATGACTGATTTTGTGGTCCAGGGTCACAAATGACATTTCAACACATTTAGCTTGCATAATATTGCATATTTTTAAGTATTTAATGGGAAATAACTTGCCTTAACTTTCATCCAAGGTGTTCCTGAGGCGAACGGCCACTCCCCAGCACACAGCGGCACAAACCAGACCGGCAAGCCTGGATCAGGTGGTGCGTCGGCAGGAACCGGCGGCACCAGCACCGGGTCGGGAGGCGGGGTCGTGGTGGATCTGACTCTGGATGACTCGTCAGACGAAGAAGGAGGGGGCGGAGCTGAGGACAGCGAGGACACGGAAGACAGCCAGGATGGCCCCGCCCCTAAACGGGGCAGATATGATTATGACAAAGACCTGGTCACCGCATACTGAGGCCGGCCAGCAGGACACTAAGACTTGTTGGGGGGAGTGGGTTGTAGATGGGATCTGAGCCTTGGAAAGTCAAGAAACGTGTCCCCATGTCTTCTCCCAAACGCATACATACTCATGCATGCACACTCATGCGCTGCTGACCTCTGGAGCAGTCGGGCATCACATTGACAAACTCGTAGATGCCCCATAAAGCCTTTCCCAATCATTCACTGCATCTTAATACTGTATTCTCCCTTTAAAGACCATGGAAGCGTAACACCACCTTCAGTTCTACTCTATCGTCCTCGACTTCCTCTCCACTTTGTGTTCTGACAGGTTTAACCATCCTGGGCATTTAAGATCTTGCCAGTTTTAGTTTTATACAGAGCTGTTCAGGCCTTCAAAACATTGTGAGACAAGCCACAGTATCTCAAAAACCTTCATTCCTTCGGGTTGAGATCATCCAACCATTTGCAACCTATTTAGAGACGTTTTCTGTTAGTCCTCCACATAGGATGTTTATGTTAGGTGTTCGTTTTAATGTGATTTGGAGACATTACTGATTAATTTCCATCTCTCATTTTTTATTTATTTTTTTTTTGTCCACAGAAGTTGACAAGCTACCTCAGTCTAACAGCGAACTGGACCAGAGGGTTTTTTTTTTTTGTAGTTTTGTTTTCAATCCCTTTTGTTTTTCATGTGCAGCAACACTGGAGAGGCATCATGCATTGCTCATTATTTTGTGCTTGCCCATTTAGGCATCATATTAAAAACGATTCTGACTCTAGCAAAGAGTTTCCGGTCAAGTCTGTCGGTCAACTAGTGTGTACTGACTGAATGTAGTGTGCTAATCGACACTCAGTTCAGAAAGAATGACATTTCAACATCAACGGTCCTTTTGCGATGCTTGTCAGCGAGTAAATACTGTACGATTGCTAATGTAATGTATTATTTCTGATAATTTCATAGAAAATTGCAGGTCTCAATGCTCTCAAATTTATTGCTTTCTTTGTCGTTTTGGTCTGTACAAGGTTGCTGAAGTCATGACTACACAAAGGCAGAGCAATAAATCAGTTGGAAGAGAGGACAAAGAGTTGTTTTAGGTTTCTTTTAGACATGACTAGTAAATTAGGTTTATTTAGCAGGGGAGCTGATGTTATTGGCAATATACCTGAAATTTATTTGCCTGAACTTAAAACCAGATTTTTCTTCACTTTACAATTTTCTTTTTTTTTTTTTTTCAGTTTAGATTAATGGCTGATTTGTTTGAGCCCATTGTATGGAGGATGTTTGTGTTCATTTCAGCCGGTTGAGGAAGTGGTGACATTTGCATATTGTTTTGTGGACTTCACAACAGGTGCAGATTTTACATGCTCTTTAATTTGTCGTCAGAACGTATATTTATTGATTTAAGAGTTTTTGCCTCTTTTATTTGAATTAAGTTTGGTATTTTTCTGCTTTTTATGAGGCATTTCGCAGCAATTTCATGAGTTTCCAGCATGTTGCTTTGTGATGGTAGATAACGCTGTGTCCTCTCGCGGCCTGCTGTTGTACGCACACATTCAGCCATTTGCAACAGTCCGAACATAAGGGGGCTAAGTCAGGACAATGCAGACTTGACCTAAACCTCGAAAGAATTAAACTCCCGCTAAACGACCAAACACAAATGGCACATCCAGACAGCTGATCTGTTGAGGACTCAGGGATGACGTGTTCTACTTGTCTTTACATTTTCTTCTCAGTCAAACTTGACACTCGAACCAGGTTCCAGCATCGTGTACACAATATTACCTTCACCATCAGGTCGCGTAGGGCAGTCTAGGTTTCTGATCTGGAAATTAAGATGTATTTTTCAAGGCATATGAATATATCTGTGTGTATAGCATATTTGGTTGTCCTCCGAGGTTTCAGAGAAAATCACTACTAAGCTCACTAGTGGTAAATTTTAAGTTTTTTTTCTTCCTTTTTTCAACTAATCCTGAATTCTGACTTGAATACTCAGTACTGTATCCTATCTGTGGTTGGGAATTTCTTAAAATAAGAATACCGCCATGAAGGGTTAAATTACTTGTAATTTTAGGTTCGTCTTTGAGTCGGCATGGTCTTCCATCTCTTCATGATAGCCCAATTTTTTCCCCTTTTCTTTATAATTTTAAAGAGTAAACAGTGCTGCAGTTGACAGTTTCACATAATAAGCCCTTAATGTAGTATGGTCCTCTAAATTTGACCACACTTTTGTGATTTTTTCACATTTAAGGTAAGGAACTTCTATAGACTTCCATCTTTAGATACCTAGAACGATCTATTAGATGTAGATAAAATGTACATTTGCTTACAATGAAAATATAAATGGATGGTGATTGACAATATATTTCCAGCTCAGAGGTGAAGACGGCCTCTATGTAGCCAGGTGAGGTTGAAGTGGGGTTTTTTTTTGGGAATGGAGGCATCCCCTCTTATTACAGTGCTTAAGACAGCATGGGCAGTGGCTTGCAGTTCTTGATGTAAATGTTTTGTTTGTGTCTTTTATATGTTCATATTAAAAGCCAATAAAAAAAAATAATATTTTATCAAGTTTTGAATTGCCTCCAGTTGCTCCGGTGGGCGGGCACAAATACATTGTTATTGGCTACTCAACGCTTCCTGAGGAAAATGTAAATTGGTGACCTAACGTGGGCTTTGACGAATCAGTTGTCCCTGTCTGAACTGAACTCGAACTGTAAAACCTCTAACACCTGTCAATTATGTGTGCAATTAATTAAACTGATTTAAAATAAATGTCTTTCCAGTGATTTTTAAATCTTGGATTTAACTCCATTGATTACTTAAAGAATATATTTAACACGTATTCCTTAGAAATGTACAATAACGTTTTTTCTAGGCCACCATAATTACTAGTTAAGTTTACTACAATAAAACTGGTTACAAGTACATAAAAAGTATTGATGATTTGTTAACTTTGATACCACATTAGTGCACTGAGGTATTTGCGTGGGGCAAAAAAAAAAATGTAACGTTATATTTTTCTGTAACGTTATTATGGTATCTTGTCAAGTTATTTGTCAACTGCACAGCTTACCAGGGTTTACTGACAAAGCTCAGACTGCAGAAGATTAATAGTACGTATCGTATAACAATAAATATGACATGAGGTGCTAAAATAATTCAGAAAATTGTATTCTTACGTTTTTTTGGTGGCAACTTTCCTTGTGGCAGGCCTTTAAATGTGACAGTTACTTAGTTCACCACTAGATGTCGTTCTTATTCAAATCATCACTCATCCTTTTGTTAAAGCTCGCGATAACTCGAGCGTTCTGACGACAGTTCTCGCGAGAGCTTGTGAACGCTTCCTCTTGGTTGGATAGCGGCTTCCTGGCCGGACTTTTTTCCCCCCTCCTTTTTTTTCTTGGGGGAAATTTCAACTTCTGTTTTCGCGGATCCTCCGGGCCAAACAATTTCGGACAGCATTTCGCGGTCGGTCCTGTGGCTGCGAACGACAGGCCTGACTTGTCTTTTGCCGCCTTTTGTCTGTGGGAGCGCTCTCGAGTCGGAGGCCGTCTCGAAGAGACATTCCAGCGATGAACGCGCTGAAATAAACTGCATTTCTTGCACTTTTGCGCCTATGGCACTCGCTCTTTCCACTTGACACCTAAATATTATTTGGTGAAGCTTCTGGAGGCATGACAGGGTGTTGAAATTAGGGGCTTACGAATCTCAGAGACTTCTATAGACACAACTGCAAGGGTTTGTGTAGCAATTCGAAGGATTGGATGTCAGCAGAGACAACCTGGTTGTTCTCTTTGAAATAGATAACAGGCAACTATGGCACCAAAAAGAAGACCGGTCCCCTTGATTATAACCCCCACAGGAGAAGGACAGTCAACCAACATAGATGCAGCATCAGAGTAAGTAACGTTATATAGTTTGCTATATCTGACACTTTTTGGTTTACTTTCCTGCATACTTAAGTATGTCTCACCTGGTCCTGTTTTTCCTGCCTTCAGGGCCAACCTGGAGACCTTGCAGAGGAAGTTAGGGGAGCTGGACTTGGATGAACAGCAGAGGAAGCGGCTTGAGGCTTTCCTCACCCAGAAAGCCCAAGTGGGCGAGCTCAAAGATGAAGATTTTGACCCCATATGTGAACTTGGCGCAGGTAACGGCGGGGTGGTCCACAAAGTCCGTCACAAACCCTCAAGACTGGTCATGGCCAGGAAGGTAAGCGATCGACAGACTTATGCACCTGCTGCTGGCTTGCTTACGGATGTGTTCAAAGGCTGAACGTTCTGTATTTTCTACAGCTTATTCATTTGGAAATCAAACCAGCCATCAGGAACCAGATCATACGAGAGCTGCAGGTCCTACATGAGTGTAATTCGCCGTACATTGTAGGTTTTTACGGCGCCTTTTACAGCGATGGAGAAATCAGCATCTGTATGGAGCACATGGTGGGACCAATGTTGTTGTTTAATGCTTATAGCATGAGTTCATAGCAGAAGTGTTACAGCACACTGACATGTATTTGTCCGCAGGATGGAGGTTCTTTGGATCAAGTGCTGAAGGAAGCCAGGAGAATCCCTGAAGAAATTTTGGGCAAAGTTAGCATAGCCGTAAGTATTACCAGTCTCCTCTGCTGTATCTGTGTCAAATAATGCTGTTTAGTTATTGATGACAAATGAACCATATTGACACATCAGTGATTAGTTGGTTAGCAAGGTCGACTAGTTTATCTAGATTTTTTTTAAAGCCTAACTGATCTTAGGTGTACTTTAATTGTATTAAATGTAAGGGCACTACTTGTTGAGGGTTGTAATGTGTTTACACTCAAACTCTCTGTTTTTGGCAGATGCCTTTGTTCAAAGTGTGGTTGAGGTAATTTTATCATTAGATAATGTTCTCCAAATTTGTGGCTTTTAACAAAATTACTGGTACAATTGCTGTTCAAATCAAATCTGATGTGAAGAATATTCTTATGCATGATCCTTAAGTCTTTGTTTTGTACAGATATAATTTTGAACTTATGTATTTGTTGAATATTTGTTAGTTACTCTGTATGACCCTTCACCAATTTTACTATAAGTGATTTCATAAGACCAACTAGTCATTCACACTAGTTTGTTTAAAACTATCTCTAATACTATTACCCAGCCATGTTGACTCTAATTGTTAGATTTCTAAGGTAGAATTGTTTTTTTTACGACAGAAAAAAATTATTTCTGCCATATAATTTTTTTTCTGTCAGTCTATGTTAGATATATTGCCCGATTTTGGATATTTAATTGTGCATGTTTTTCCCCATATTTTCTTAGCCATATTTTACTGCTCATTAAGAGTGAATTATTAAAAAAATGTTGTGATGTCTAAATCCAGTTTTAGCATTTAAAAAGATTTGTAGTTTATAGTGCTTTATTTTTGTCTCACTTAGACAAATAGGATTGTATTTCAATACCGTCCATTTCTTGGTTATCAGCCATAACATGGAAATAACTACCATCTTATCAGTATCAGGGAGAATTTTAATATTGGCGCGTCCCTAGAATATAGGTTACCTCTACCAACTTCTTGTTTTTTGGTGTCTGGTTAATTACAATAATTGTTTATCATTTTTGTAATACTTAATGTAAAGAAATTGTGCATGTACATGGGGAAATGCACATGTTAAAAGATTAGGTTATTGTGAAAGCTGTAGGAATGAAAAGAGAGCAACCTGCTTTTCTTCTTGTCTAAAAGCAGAATCCAAAAAAAAATGGTACACAACCTCCATCGTAACATGTCTGGCACTAGTACGCACAAACCGCAATTTAATAAAGCTGTGACCACACCCACAGATGTGCAAACTCCCTTTCAAGTCAGAGTTACCAAAACATGCACGTTTTTCAACACACAGTTAGACTTATTCTTCCAAATGAATAGGGTTAAACTTCTGTTTCACATTTGATCATGACAAAACACAAACACTTTAACATGAAGTCCAAACAAAGGTGCAGCGATCTGTTTATGTGTGTGTCTGTACTGTTTTTTGCACGTGTGAGCGAATGCATCTCAGCTTTCAGTAATCACAAAGCAGAAGTTGTTTTGTAAAGACTAGAATATGTAACACGTTCTGTAAATTCAGGAAGCTAGATACCACATTGACCGTTGAGAGATAAACCCTGTTGATGACATCTATAACTCTCTTTCCACAGGTACTCAGAGGTCTGGTATATCTTCGGGAGAAACACCAAATAATGCACAGAGGTACACACAGAGCAACATTCCTTACTAATATCTTAGAAAACGTACATGTGCATACACGCGCTGGATGGCAGCAGGAAGTAGCCCCCTAATGCAGCTATTGAAATTGCATAAGAAGCTTAAGAATGATAATTATAGAGAGATTAGGCCTCACTTTTTCAAAGGTATTTACTGAAACTATAACCAGAGACCTTCATACAACTGCAAACCTGAGATTAAATGGAGCAAAGATATTGCAAAAGTTGATATTATTCCAATGCTAAACGTCAATCTTCTACAATTAAACGTTTTAAAACAAACACTACATTGGCATTTTTAGATTACAAGTTGTAGATCACAAGTTACCATAGAAATAGCTTCAGTGTCTCCAAGTGTGGCACAACCAACATTTGAACATTAATACTATGTCTGAAGATGCAAAGTATCAGTTTCTCTGTCAGGTTGTATGAGGGTCTGAAGGAGCCACACTGGGTTTGAAGGGTTAGACAGGGAGGGTCAGGCCTATAGTTGTGCTGTTGTGGCAGGGAGCGCTCGCCTGCTTGCGAGGAGCTGTCGAGGAGCCCAGCCGGTAATTGCAGCCTCTCGGATGTGATTACATGGCAGCCACACCCTGCAACCCCCTCCCTTCTTTTTCCTCTCCCACTCTCACCCCTCTGTCCACTCCCAGTGGGTGTTAGGGCTGAAGGAGGACCCGTCATGTGTGGAATCGTTGCATGTCTGCACTGTTATTTGCTCCTCTTGCCCTGTGTTTAAGAGGAGGGAGGTGGAAAGTGGCTTGCATGTCTGTCCTTTCTGCTTCAAAACGGTGTTGTCGGAGCTAGCTTTGCAGTATGCAGAGCATCTTGTGAAATGTTTTTGCTGGGCATGCTGGAGAAAGGGCATTTGAACGGGGATGGAAAGCCAGGTGGTGCCACTGGGATTTGGACCCCGGCACTCCATCTTACATGGTCTCTCTCTCTGGTCCCTACAGACGTTAAGCCCTCCAACATCCTGGTGAACTCGCGTGGCGAGATCAAACTGTGCGACTTTGGCGTGAGTGGCCAGCTCATCGACTCCATGGCCAACTCCTTCGTTGGAACACGGTCGTACATGTCGGTGAGTCACCCGCCCACTTCCCTCCCCAACCCCCAGTCCTTCTCATTCCAAGCCCTGTGCCGGTGCCCAGGATTCTTCCATGTGGAGAGGAGGAAGTCGCTGCCAGGTTTTAGCCCACTCCTCTTGGCCACCTGCAGGGTGTGGCGCCCCACCCATGTAGAGCTTTGACTTGCTCTCTGCTCTCTGCCTTGACAGCCGGAGAGACTCCAGGGCACACACTATTCAGTTCAGTCGGATGTGTGGAGCATGGGCCTATCACTGGTTGAGCTGGCTATTGGACGCTACCCCATCCCCCCTCCCGATGCCAAGGAACTGGAGGCCATATTTGGCCGGCCAGTGCTGGACACAGGTGGGGCAGAAGGCCACAGCATGTCCCCAAGACCGAGGCCTCCAGGACGACCGGTTAGCGGTAAGACCTTGTTTAATTTCCCCAAACATTGTCATTAGTTTTAAGCGCATTCGATTTTCTCTATATTCTGCGTAATATGCGTGTTTAAGTTGAGCCTTGCAAATTGTTTTCCCCCAGGACACGGAATGGACAGCAGGCCAGCCATGGCTATATTTGAGCTACTGGACTACATTGTCAATGAGGTCAGAGAATTTGCTTAGCGTGCAACTTACTTCCTTTGTGCTTATTTTTGCCTTCACTTCATGTTTTGATGTTTCACTTCAACATCACCCCTTTTTCTGCTCCCCACCTGTCTCTACATCTGCAGCCACCACCCAAGCTGCCCCATAGCGTCTTCACCACAGATTTTGAGGAGTTTGTGATGAAATGGTGAGCCCCTATGTGTTATCACTGGTGTTTTTATTGTATGAACCTGCAAAATCTTCAGTGTTGAACAAAACGGCATCTGAGCTATGGCAAAGTTGGACCATGATAAAAGGGCCATAGTACAGGGATGTTCATTCTAGCTCCCGGAGGGCTAACCTGCCCCAAAACACTTGCCTGGATGTTTCTATTAATTCTGAAGACATTGATTAGCTGGTTCAGGTGTGTTTAATTAGGATTGGTGCTAAACCTTGCAACATAGTGGACCTCCAGGAGCAGGATTGGACACCTCTGATTTAGAATGTTCAATGTTCATCCAACAGAGGTTACATTATCTTAATATTTGCATTCTAAAATTGTCATTGGTCTTCTTTCTTCTTTTCCCTCAGTATAGTGTATTACTGTCCATCTCATCATCTTTAGCTTTCTTTGTCCATATTTGGATGTATGACTTTTGGAACTATCATAATACTTCAATACTATTCTTTTTCTGTATTTTAAGCACTGGTTTTCCTTCAGGAAATGCAAGTCTAGTTTATTATGTGGCTTACATTGCACAGCGTCGCAAAGGCACTAAGATGCATTGCAAAATGTTCCCTATGGAGCAAGCTACAAAATGC